CTTCTTCGTCGTTTTCTTCATTCTCATCAATGTCTACTTGTTGAGTTTAATCCAACACGATATAGTAAATATATGTATGAACACTCAGTTTTTACGTGGAAACTTGAAAGGGAGAAAACCACGGGACTTTTTAGGCTAATGTCCAAGCCCTCTCTTTCTCATTAGGACTCTCCTCACCATTACATAGTACAATTTGGACTCCCATTAATGGAGTATTGAGCTAGTCTAAAAGAAGAAAGGAAGATGGAGCTAAAAGAGGATCCTTTTACATGGAGGGAAACCTCCTATTTATAGGGAATAGGGGGGAAGGGGGCTCTCCACCCTAACGGGCCGAATGGGCCAAAATGGGCCCAAAGGCCGAAACAGGCCTGATAGGCTAAAATGGGCCTTACTGATTGGGCTCCGTACTACGTAAAGTCTTGGGCTCCTGAACAGTAATAGGCCGGGGTAATATATCCCAACACTACTTCTAATACTTTTCGTCGTACTACGCGAGCTTCTTCTGCACTGAATATTGATCGAACAACTTCTGGCTCTAAGAATTCTTCCGCTTCAGCGTCTCGTAGTTCAAGTGCAAATGTCACCGGTAAGAAGAGAAAAAATAAAAAACCTCTGAAGCCTAGGAAGAAAGCTAAAGTCTCTGCAAATGCAAAACGTAAGGAGTCTAAAATCTCCGTGAGTCAGTCGAAAAGAAAAACGAATCGTTTGCCATTTAAGGTGATTATTTACATTGTTTATGTACTTTGTATTGTTCGTTGTTGTATTTTGGATATGTAATTTATGGTTTCATTTGCTTGAATTTGTTTTGTTTATTAAACTTTTATCATTTCGTTTTTTCACTATTGTATTCCAGGAGTGGGAGTATTTTGTTCCTTGTGACTCATGGTTTAACAGTAGGGTTTGTAGCTTTAATAAGGATTGCATTACTGGGAATCTGAAGTCCAATTTATCTGAAGTTCAGTTGAATTTATTTAAGCAAACTTGCTTTGGTAAATTCCTTGATTACAAAGACTTGAAATTTCAGCCTCAGCTTGTGCATGGTTTGCTTCTGAGAGAAATTAGCCACAGTATTCCGAATGAGATCTGGTTTGCAGTTTCTGGTTTTCGTTTGCGGTTTTCAATTGCTGAATTTGCAGTTGTTACTGGTTTGAAATGTGTTGGTGATTTTGATGATTCTACTCTTTGTTCTTCCGACACTAATGACCTTGTCAAAAAATATTTCAACAATTGTTCAAAAGTTAGTCGTGAAGAAATTGAAACTTGTTTTCTTGGTCAAAAGGCTGGTTGTGATGAACATGCTCTTAAGATAGCCATTCTCTATATTCTTGGGTTGTTCTTCTTTACTTCCTCTAAGGAAAAGTATATTAGTGAAACTTATCTCGATGTTGTGAATTCTGGTCTATGGGATACCTATCCTTGGGGCAAAGACCTTTTTGAATTGACTTTACAAAACTTGAAGGGTAGACTTGTAAGAGCAGATTCAGAAAGTGATTATTTCTTTTATCGTATTCTGGGATTTCCATTAGCTCTTCAGGTGTGGTTTTATGAGTGTTGTGATTATAGTCACGGTGTGTTTGCATCTAGATGTGGTTCTTTTGTTCCCCGTATTTTGTCTTGGGAATCTTCTGTTGCATTCACTTACAAGAAGTTAAATATGGAGCTTCTTTGTTTATCTGCTTCTCAGGTATGTTTAAAATTTTATTTTCCTTATATTTTTATTGTTTCTTTCTTATCATTTGATTTCATTAGATTTATTTTCTGTTTGTGTTTTTCTTTGGCAGTTGAAGTTGCACAATCTCGTTCTTACTGACCTTGAAAAGGAATCTGTTGAGTTCACTTCTTTGTTTGATGCACATCCAATAATGCCCCAAAGTATGCCCTCTGTTGTCGATGAGATGTCAAGTTCTGTTCTATTAGCATTTGAAAACCGCCTTGACAGTAAATTGGCTGATTTCAAGAGCTTTGTTCAGGATAAGTTTAATCTGTTAGAGCATAAGCTTGATCGTGTTGCTTCATTCTGTCATGTTCAATCTTCCAAGGAGACAGTTTCCAATTTCGTTTCCCAACACACTCCCATTGTACATGAACCGGTGCTTTCTAATGATGTTTGTCGTGCTCATAATACCAATGTTCTTTCTGATGATAATGGTGTTGGAAATGTTGATTCCGATTCTGTTCATTTAGATCAAACAGTCAATTTTAGTGACTCTGGTTACCAAGCTTTAGATCATGACGAGGTTATGAATTTGTGTATTTTTAAATTGTTTCTTTATGTTCTCCATTGTTGTTTTTTGTTTCATTTTTTTGTTGCCATGTTTTTAACCCTTTCTAGTTATTCTTATCAGGTTGCTGATGAAGATCTCAATTATACTGATTCTAGTTCCCAATCTTCACATAATGAAAAGGTTATGTATCTGAATATTTTTTTAAATGTTTCTTTATATTTTATATTGTTGTTTTTTGTTTCATTTTTTCCCATATTTGTAATCTTCTTTCGTGTTATTCTTATCAGATTGCAAATAATGGTCATTCTATTACTACTCATTCACAGGAGTTCGTGTCTGATCTAGTTTCTTCACAGGATTCTGCTGTTTTATTACATTATGTGAATGATCTAGTTTTTTCTACGGTTACTGATTGCATGGCGGATGAGAATGATATTTTCTTGTTGGATTTTATTCAGAATGATGTTTATTCAGTTGTTACTCAGACGTTGTTTGTTGAACATGACGCTGTGTTGTTGAAGTATGTTGAGGAGTTGGTATATTCTACTGTTAATGAGTTGAGTTGTGCTGAAAATGATGCTTTGGTTTTGGACTTTGTCTACAAGCTTGTTTATTCTAGTGTTCTTGAGATGATGTCTGTTGAAAAGAAATCAAATGAACATACTGTTGATTGTGTTTCTAATGAACCTGTTGAGGATGATGCTTTTTTTGCTACACTTGATTCTCTTGTTTCAGACTTTCAAAAATCCAAGGTATGTAAATTATATTGTTTATATGTTCTGCTTTATATGTAATCTTATATTGCTTCTTATATAGTTGTTTTATTGTTTTGTAGTCTTCTACTACTGATCCTCCTTCAGCTTCTTCAAATCATATAAAAGATATTGTTCCTTATATCTCAAGTATTCAACCTATGTCAGTAGTTCATACCTGTGAGTCACTTATTAAGCAAAAAAGGACTGTAAAGCCCAGTGTTTTTGTGAAATCCCCTTTTGTTGGTGAGTTCGATTCTGGAGGTGGCTCTTTGAAGACATCTGTTATCCCTATTGCATGCCCTTTTATTGATGAAGCAAACTGTGTGCCATTGAGTTCTGCTCTTGAATCATTTGATATTTGGATTGATCAAGGGGCTTATAAGCGCAAAAGGTTGTTTTAACACTAACATTATATATTACAAAGTTTATTATACTTTTGTTTTAACGTTTTTTTATCCTTTTGTAGATCCAATTTGATGTATCCTGCAAAAGTTGATCATCTCATTCCTGGATTCAATTTTAATGTTGCTTTTATTGAATCGAAGACATGGTTTCACCAGCTTTATTATATGGGGCAGATGATATCGGATTCTGTATGTTTATTAACTTTTACCAGCTTTCTTACATTTTCTTCATTTTTTATATTTGTTTTCTGATATTTCCTTTTTTGTGCAGCATATAGATGTGATCTTTTATTACTTCAGGAAAAAGGCTGTTGTTACTACTACTTGCAAAACCAGTTTCACAACAACAGATTCTCTTTTCAATGTTAAGCTACAACAGTCATATTATGCAACGCTGGATAAATCTTTTTCTTGGTCAAAATTTGGTTGTCTATGTGATTATATTGTAGGCTTTAACTTGCCTCGTGCAAAGCCTTGGGATGAAGTTGACCATGTTTTGATGCCAATTTACCTTAAGAAACATATGCATTGGGTGCTTGGCAGGTTTTGCATCAATGAGTGGTGCATTTATATTTACAATTCTATGATCAGCTCAAATGATAGAATCAATGCTATAGATGTTGTCAAGCCATATACTGTGATGCTTCCTTTGGTTTTTCGACACATGGGTTACTTTTCTAGTCGTGGTTTGGATCTTAATAGGGACTTATATTTGAAATTTGTGACTGACCTGCCTGTCCAACAAACATCGTAAGTTCATTTATCTGATTCAAATGTTTTTATTTTATCAGTTTTATCATTCTAGTAATATGAAATGTATTGAGTGTGATTATACTTTTTGTAGTGACTGTGGGGCTTTTGTTGCTGCCTTTACGGAGTATTTCATTGATGGCAAAGACGTTCCTCCATTTTTAGATATTGAGCTGTACCGATCTAGGCTTGCCTTCTTTCTCTATCAATATGGAAGATCTAAGCTCAATGGTGAAGTGGAGAGTGATTCTGAAAAACCCAAACCCAAACGGAAGAAACTGAAGAAGTGAAATGTTTATGTAGGAAGGACTAATGTAATTTCTGTATTGTGACGTACCTTGTATAAACCATATGTTACACTACTTCTTTTGAAAATCTATTAAAGTACTGTTTTGATACTGTTGTTGAATATAACTCCTTTTTTGCATTTATTCATCTTGTTTCATTATGTTTCTAGAAATGCTATAATATTGTTTATAGTATACTTGTTTTTGTTTATGTAATTACCATTTGCGTGTTATATTGTAGTCGTTGTTGCTTCTTGTTTTCAAAACTAGTATACTCTTGTTTCTCAATGTTTCTTATTGTTTCCAGTGTCTGTTATTAAATTCCACATTTGTATTTTCCCCACCAACAAATACAAACATCCACATAAATAGGATACTTCATTTTGTTTCTGTAATTACCATTTGCGTGCTATATTGTAGTCGTTGTTGCTCCTTGTTTTCAAAACTAGTATACTCTTGTTTCTCAATGTTTCTTATTGTTTCCAGTGTCTGTTATTAAATTCCACATTTGTATTTTCCCCACCAACAAATACAAACATCCACTTAAATGGGTTTCACAGTAATTGTATTGCTGCAGAATATAATTGTGTTTAAACAGAGAATTAAGAGGCATAATATAATTGTCTTTAAACAGAGAATTAAGAGGTATTGGAAAACATATCCTAACCAACATAAACTTTTCTACTTTTGGGGTGCATTCCTACATGTCTTTCTATTGTGTCCTTTTGTTCCACACTTCCCACATTTATTTGTACTTGTACTCTCCCATTGTGCTTTATATCTCTGTTTCTTTGGCCTTCCGGCTTTTTTCCTTCCATGTGGTGGATAAATCTTCACTTTTGTATTACTACTGTCCATTTTCCATGTGCTCTGATCTGGAATTGGATGCACAGTCTCTTTATATGTTTGCAGCATTGTCTCCTTTGAGTAGTAAGATGAACAAATTTTGTATGGTTCATGGTTCATTTTTTTGAGAACTGCCAAGGCATGAATACATGGCAACTCATCAATTTGAAACTTCCTGCAAGTGCACTTCTTTTCCTCCAGGTTAACAATGAAGCATTTGTTCATTTCATAAACACTAAATATTGCTTCATTAGAAGGAACCACCTGCAATCATCATTGTGAACAAAGTATTTATATAATCCCATTTTAATACGTATTTAACTACATATTATGTAACCAGTATATACCTTTAGCTTAGCACATTTCATGTAGTTCTGCTGCAGTGTTTCATGAGGAACTTTTGCAAGTTGAGTGAAAGTATTCCTTGCAAGTTTTCTGTTCACAAAAGTCCACATTTGTACCAATGCATGTAAGAACTGTAGCAATGCTGTTATTGGCAGATTTTTTATCTTCTTTATTGCGGCATTCAGTGATTCAGCTATGTTAGAAGTCATTATTGAGTACCTTCTGGAGCCTGAGAAAACTCTTGTCCATTTTTCATAGCCAACTCCATACAGATATGGGACTATGTCCTCATCAATTTTCTTGAGTTCCTCAATGTGGCTATCAAACTCCTCTGTGGTGTATGCTTTTGCAGCTTCAAAATAACTGTCTTTCATTTTTTTTGTTTTCCTTTTAAACTTGGTCTTGAGGTTGTTAAACAGATGGTAAATGCATACCCCATGGCTACATTCTGGATACACTTCTTCCACACCTTTTGCAATGCTCTCATGTCTATCAGAAACGATTACCACTCCATTCTTATAGCCAAAAGCTTCCCTAAAATTTCTGAAAAACCATTTCCAAGAGTCATCATTTTCAGAATCAACAATAGAGAATGCAAGTGGAAATATTTTACCACATGCATCTTGTGTTGATGCTGTCAACAGTGTGCCCCCATATCTCCCAGTGAGAAACGTGCCATCAACTACAATAACTGGTCTACAATGCTGCCATCCTTTAATTGATGCGTCCATTGCCATGAATGCGTATAAGAAAGTGTTGTCCTCATTAACTTTGAGTTGCAGATACGATCCCGGATTTGTTTGTTTCACAATGTTGAAGAAGTGTGGCAGAAAATTGTAGGACTCTTCTGGGTTTCCTCTCAGCTTATTGAGTGCTTTTTCCTTTGCTCTCCAAGCTTTCAGGTAGCTTATTTCAACACCATACTCCTGTAACATATCTCTTTGTATATCCGTTGCATTATATGACGTTTTAGGATCCAATAATTTAGCCTTAATGCAGTCTGCTACCAAACTAGCTGTTGCATGTCTTTGATCAGTTAATCTTACTTCCAACTTGCAAGAATGTGTTTTAATAAACTTGGTAACAATAAACCTTCCTAACGTTCCTGTTCTTCTTGATCGCATCCTCCATTTGCATTCTTCATCCAAACATTTTGCCACAAAAGCTTTCTTGTTTGACTTATCTGTCCGGTACTGGAAGTGATTTTTTATAGCATACAACTTCAATGCTTTCTTCAACTCAGCACAATTGATGTAAATAAGTCCTTCTTCAGGATCTACATCACTGTTGTTGCACTTTATTAAATCTGACTTCGCCCATTTGTCTTGTAGTAGAGCATCAGTTGTTTTATTTGCCCAATGTAATATATAACCAGAAATATCCAACTCGTCACTGATTGTTGAGCTTTCTTCAGCTGACAGTATGGCTACTTGCATCCCACCTGTTGTTTCGTCTTGTTGATATGTATCAACAAACATGTTGCAATGTGTTTCCTCATGTACATCAGCAAAGGTGATGCACAGAGGAAATTTTGTCACATCTGTCTCTTGCTTCTTTAGGTGCAAATAAAACAACAAAGCTGAATTATCTTGTATCGTCAATGGTGGATAATTCTGTCTGACTTTGTATTGAATTATCAATGAAGTTGTTGGTTTTTGTACTCCTATTCCATCAACTAGCTTTTCAATCAATTCAGAATAAGAACTGTGTGTATCTAAAGTAATTCCAAACACATTGAAGTTATCATATTCGATTGCTTCATTCCAATGACCACCATGATGAACAAAAATAGGAAGTGTTTCCATATTCCCTGTTATCAACAATACACACATTGTTCTAGGTTATACAAGTATGAATAACTGTTCAAAGGACTATTACGTTCATAAACAAAAACATTATTTATTCATTAATAAGTTTATATTTTAAATTTAGTAATTACAATGGAAACAGAGTTTATTATTGTATAGCAACTAATAATCAAACGGAAACCAAAATTCAATTGATATATTCAAACATAATGAAATCATTAGACGAAGCGTAGAGATTGTAGTGATCATACTTTCTAGTCTCAGAAGAATTGCGTAATTCGATCGAAACAATTGCGTTGTTTATATTTCAGATTTGTTTGTCTGAAACAATTGCGCGGTGCGATCGAAAACTCTGTGCGACATCAATGGATCTTCGATCGGCTGTAGAAACCTTGAAATGAAAGTGTCGCAGCAGGGAGCAAACCGAAAAGGAAGTTCTGGTATATTCTGGCGCGTGTTATGATAGGAAGCTCTGGGTTTCTATTTTGGCTAAACGCTTGCCGTTTATATATGAGGTTATTTTTGAAAAAACAATCTTTCGTATCTTACTTTTGAAAAGCGAATCTATAATTGAAAAAGCTGATATTATTTTCCTTCTTGGGCCTATATGTGAAAAATTCCCAAATAATTTTATACTCCACAAAAATTAATACTGAGAACCCAAATTAATATTCCGTACATTTTGCTCGGAAAAAGGATATCAAAAACAATATTCCATATACAAAGTATCCTTTTCTTTGCAAATCTTGTCAAAATATATACTCCGTACTTAAAAGAATAATGATATACATATATACAATCCAAAACGTATACATACATATGAATATATATAGAAAATGGTGGATTGAAGGAAAAAACATGATTGACAAGGTTAATATAAAGTTTTTGTATAAATTGGTTGAAAATTAGGTTCAAGTTATTTAAAAAAATTATATATACAATACCGATGTAATATTTTTTGATACGCCGGAAAGGAATACTGGTTTAATATGAAAGATCATAAGAATTTATAATTTATGAATTTTGATATACATATATATATATATATATATTGTAAAAAACGGAGAAATCATAAGAAGTTTATAGCACTTCAAGAAAATGGAGATTCCTTTAACCATGGGTCCCGCACTTTTATCTTCTTCTTCTCCCACGTATCACGTATGCACATGACTCACAAAAGTAATTGTGAATGGAAAGTCACCAAATTGGTTGGCAGCTTTCTAAGAGCATCTCCAATGGTTGCCTATAAGAACTTGTTTGCAATTTTGAAGTTATTAGCCCACCATTGGAGTGCATCTTTGTTTCTAGCTTGGACAAACAAATTAGCCAAAACAAGCTAATTGCTAGAAAGGAGAGAAACTTGGATTAAGATGTTAACTACCAAATATATTTAATTTATTTGTAATTGATAAATTATATTAATTAATTATGCAACGATAAAGTGAGTAATACGACAATCAAGTTCCAAATTAAAAGTTATTTCAATCTCTTCCTCTTAATTGTATATACCGAATGGTTTTAAAATGAAATAATGAAGGAACTGATACCATGGGCTTTCTTGTAGACGAAATAAGACCAGTTTTGAAATTAGACAAAAAAAACAGACCTAATATTAATAAATGGACTTAAATGCCCTTGATTAACATATCCTTGCGTCATTTCAAATATGGGTTCCTGCAGCACACCCCCATCGAACAAAGCCACAGTTGCAAGTCATCCGCACTTCCATCGCCGGCAAGCCACAGTCGCGCCTCCATCATGGCATCGCACCGCGATCGTTCGACCTCCGCCGCATCGCATCGTGACCGTTCGACCGCCGCACCTCCATCACCGAACTTTCTTCTCCTCTTCTCTCTGGATTTCTGCACAGCAACATAGAACTCTACATCCTCTTCTAATAGGTTGGTATGACGATGATATTCATCGATATGGTGGTCTAGGGTTTCGATGGCGGTGCGATTTAGGTCCCTGGCGACGGAGGTGGGCTGACGGCTACGATTAGTGGCAGTGGTGGTATGCTGGTGTCCAAGGGCTGTTGAGTGGGGGCTGAACGCTGGTGGCTGGGGTTGACTGGCGGCTGGGTTAGGAGTAGCGGTGGTGGTCTGGCTGTTGGGGTCTAACTGTTGGGCTGGGGGGGCTGAGACTAGGGGGCTGAGGGCTTGGACTAAGACTGGGGCAGGGCTAGTGGGGGTGGGGCAGGCTATGCTTGTGGTGGAAGAGTGGTGGTTGTCACAGTTGGTCACTGGAGTCACCATCCGTGGCATTTACTAGCGGGATGGGTGCGGTCACTGATCGGGGTAGGGGCGGTGACTACATGGGGCTGCGGCAGCGACTGCCTGGGGTGTGGGCAGTGACTTGGGGAATTGCTAGGGCGGAAGAGACGGCTGGAAATAATGTCACTGGATGGGCGGACGTTGGTCACTGAACGAGCGGATGTTGGTCACTGAATGGACGGAAGTTGGTCAATGAGCAGGAGTCACTGTGTCAATTGGTCGCTAGACGGAAGTCACTAATTAATTGTTCACCGGGAGTAGAGTCACTGTGACATTGGTCACTGTGAGCCGGATAATTGTAACTGCAAAGGTCGGGTAACTGTAACTGAAACTGGAAGGGTCGGGTAACTATAACTTGTAACTGGATGGGTTGGATAACTGTAACTGGATGAGTTGGGTAACTGTAACTGGACAAGTTGGATAACTGTAAGTGGACGGGTCGAGTAACTATAACTGGACGAGTTGAGTAAATGTAATTGATCGTATAATTGTAACTGATGGGTCAAGTAACTGTAATTTATCGGATCGAGTAAGTGTAACTAACGTATCAACGAAATGCCTACCAATGCAGCTACCTAACATTTTTTTTTCTTTTTGCAACAATGCACCTGCCTAACGTTACACACTCTAACAATTAATGTTTCTTTAATTTTAATGCTATTTCTAAATATATATATATATTTGGATATGGAAATATTCTCTTAAATATTTAAATTATTACACCAAATTTTTTATGAAATTCGTCCCAGTTACTACCGTTTCATTGATCACTGTTTCAGTTACTACCCTCCAGTGACGATCGTTCTAGTTATTGTCGCTCCAGTTATAGTTACCTAATGCGAACATATACCCAATCAGTTATAGTTACCTGACCCAATCAGTTACAGTTAGCTGATTCGATCAGTTACCCATCAAAGCATAGTTACTTGATCCGATCAGTTACAGTTAAACGACCAATTCCATTTACCTGACTCATTAGTTACTCAACCACTTACAGTTACCTCACCCGACCTCTAACAGTTACAATTTCTCGGTCCAATCAGTAACAATTATGGGCAGCGACCACCGCCGACAACCACTACTGTCGGCCACCACAACCGCCCTGTCTAGTGATGGTCATCCCGCTCCCTCCCCAGCCCCCTCGCCGACTCTCCAACGCCCCTTCGGCCACAACCGGTGACAAGCAACACCCCACCCCCACCCCTCACCCCACTGCCCCAAACACAGCACTCATCCCCTTTCCTCTTCTCTTTAACCAGTACTCCGCACCCCCTCCCCTGGCCCAAACCCGTCCATTCGTCTCTTCTTCCCTTCCAACCTTGTAGCCCGCTCTTCTCCTCAAATGCCCTCGCCTCTTAGCCTCCTAGATCCCATAGCCCTTCCTCGCCGCCTTACAAATCCTAGCCACCGGCTTCTAGCTAAAACCACAACCTTTCACTCGGCGACGTGGCAGATCAACTAAAGAGATGGTTCAATTGATGATGGATCGGATTGTTGACGATGAAAGGATGGCGGCAACAACGGCGATGGCGATGGAAGGATGGCGGCAGGGCCGGTCCTGTCCAGTTTTGGGCCTATGGGCAATATACTATTTTGGCCTTATTTCCCAGACAAACATTAAATTATACTCCCTCCGTCCTGCAAAGAAGTTCCCGCTTTCCTTTTTAGCATCTCCAAAAAGAAGTTCCCATTTCCGTAAATGATAAGTTATCTACATCAAAACGGTGCCAAACAGTATAGAAACAGTGTCAAAATAGTAAAATTTACCCCCTAGTAAGTATATTTCCTTAATATGTGTGTAGGTCAAACCAGGAACTTCTTTGCGGGACGGAGGAAGTACTTACTTAAAGTAAAAATTACGGAGTATAATAAAACTAGGAGAAATTACTCTAAATACGACTAAAAACGTTTGTATTTTTTTTGGATGAACTGTAAGTATATTAAAGGAGCCATCCAAGAAAATGGAGGTTCAGAATGTACAAGCAAAAAAAGGAAAACAAAATTGCAGGTTATCCAACATGGATAACCCAAACCCAGCAAAAGAACTCAAAAGAAGCAACGCCCCACACCAAAACGAAGCGGTGGTGGAGCACAAACAAGCCCAAAAAACAGCCACAAGAAACGCCCAACCCAAACAAAGAGAAGGTTAGGCAGAACACATTACAGCTTTACAAGTTCATGTGGATAAAGACTATACAAAATCTTGTAAACAATGTATTGAATCCTCGCAAAAACGTCTTCTTCTTTGGGAACAAGGCCGTCAAAGCATGTAGCATTCCGGGTCCTCCAGATCCAGCAGATGGAGTAGCAAAAAGCAATCCTAGCCCCCTTAGCTTTGATCCCCGAGCCTTGTCTCTTCCTCTTGATCCATTTCAACGAGCTCAGCATGGTCCCCATCTCCCTAGGAATGTCTAGCCACGTCCTAACTCTATGCCAAACTTTACCTGAAAAAGCATAAGTAAAAAATAGGTGTGGTACCGTTTCCGGACCACCCTTACAAAGGGGGCAAACATTAACAACATCTAATCTATGCAATTTATC